ATACATACATACATACACATTGACACACACAAGCAAAATGCAACTCTCCATAAATAAAACAGAAAGCACAATACATACACGAAACAACGAAAGTCTCCATACATGCAAATCACATTTTTACCCAAATTATATTGTAGTTAAACTTTATATACCGTTGTTATGTTTTGTATTTTTGTATATTTCTTGATTAATAACTTAAAATGGAAAAGTATCTTATGTTCGTTTTTCTTCTTCTTCTTGTGACTCCTATTGCTGAAGGTAAATAATTAAATACGTTTTACCATCTATATATAATATGAATGTATGTGTATTTGTTTGTGGTTGTGTGTGTTACGGTGTGTTTGAATGTGATTACATATGTATGACTTTGTTGTGTGTATCACTATGTCAAAATAGAAAATTCATTGTTATTTATGTTTTTGTTATATATGTTATATCTCTGTCCAACACATTCATCTATACAAAATATATATATATATATATATATATATATATATATATATATATATATATATATATATATATATTATTTAAACTCTTGATGCAACGTGCAAGTTTAAAACCTTGTTATATGTATAGCGGAAAGGCATAAACTCTATTTTTGTTTTTCAAATGCCTACATGTAAGTTTTAGATACTTTGACATATAAACTTTAATTTTTACCAAATATAACATAAATAAATTTTATCATAACCAAAAAACCTCTAAAGTTTAAAAATGTATCATTTTTCCATTGGTTGTGGATTCAGATCTTATTGTGAACAAAACATAAAGATTTAGGAGTATGATTATATGTTTTTATGAATTTGTTGTTCTAAAAAGAAAATAGCATATCCTTTAACAAATAAATTGATGCACTACATAAATTTCTTAAGAATCATAATTATGTTATTTCATACTAAACACATGATTTCACCATATCATGTATATTTGATGTATATCTGTATATCATAACACAATGATTTCCTTTACAAAGGTTAAAGGTTAATATATTTAATCCATATGTTTAAAATAAACTATCATAAAAAAATAGAATCACCTTCATTTTTTCATTTTTTATATTCTATGGAACAAAAATCATTTCCATATATTAAAAGGTGCATTAATGTTCTATGGTCTACTAAAAATAAATCATATAATTAATCACAAATTGACAACTTTTTTATGTGTGTATAGGCACCACAAGTGGGATAATAGAGTCCTTAAAAAATTGGAAGTGTGTTTTACGCAAAGAGAATGGAAAAGATGCGTATTGTTGTACTAACCCGGCTCATATAATGTGTTATATTGGGATTGGGAATAAGGACTTGTGTGATCGTGCATGCAATAGGTTGGGGTGGAGCATAGACTGATTTCTAATAGATACATTTAAACGAGTCTTTCAATGATAGTCCACTATTTACATTTGTGATTAACTTATGCTTAAAAAAATTTATTGTTCTTATAAAAATATGTGAATAATTGATTTTTCAAGATAGATTATTATATAAAAAACTATAAAATATGATACTTATATTTATATTACAAAACATATTGTCACAACATTTATTTAGTTGTCTAAAGGACGAACCACGCAAAAAATAAAACCACGAGACCAAACACATAAGAATTTAGATAGTTATATTAAATCAACATCTTTTAGCAAATCGCAGGGATCGACAATGTAATTTTGTCTTATCTTTAAGTACACAATTTCTCACGGTATTTGCTAAAAGAGAAATAAGTTCATTTTAGATTGTGTGACGAGGATAATGATGATGATTTTCATGATGTTTAATGTGATCTATATTATACCATAACATTTTGTCACCATTTCAGTTAGTCCTAAAAATTTACCATTTCTATATTGGTAAAGTTTTTCATAAAAACGTACCATTTCTATATTGGTAAAGTTTTTCATTAGATGTGCGTAAGAGTAAATTATGTTTAAATAAATATTTCAAAACATCAATAGTTATTCGGAAGACCTATCCCCAGTGTTCTTTTACTTTTATAATCTTTGTTGTAAATCATTATCAATTTAAAGGTTTTCGTTCAATCTTACTCTTACTTCATTCCAAAAACTCATACAAATCGAATGTTCGACGCTCTTTCCATGTTCTTTAAGTATCTCGATAAAATGTTTACAATCATTAATTAAATCCATCATTTGTTATATAATCTTTTTTATTAGTAGATTTAAATAACTTAGCAACAAAAACAATATACTTTATCAACATATTTTGAATAATCAATCATTTTCGATCACATCTCTCCCTTATTTAAGTTTTCAATATAAAAAAGCATAATAAAATGTCTAGATGTTTTATCTTCATGAAACATAAGATTCATTTCCTACTTGGTCGTTTTCAATTATAATATCTCTTGATTTATTAATAGCTCCGTCCCGATTTATAGGATCATAAACATCTATGAGAGGAGTGAACCTTAAAATTACCATAAGGTTCATTCAAGTTAGCATCAATTCCATTCAAATTAGTGTCATTTTCATTCAAATTAGCAACTGGTCCTTCAAATTAGCATGTTCATTATTCAAATCAGAAATAGTTCAATCTTTTTTTGGTACCAGCCTCGTAACAGCTAGATATTTTTTATGGGCTTACATTGTGCACCTCTACTCCATACCATCGTAAACCTTTGAACATGTAAAACTAAACACCCAAAATACATTAATTACTATTGGCTAGTAAATAAATGAAAGGTTAGCCCGTTTCAGACAATTAAATCATTAAAATTTTCAACTAAATTTGTTTTCTACTACGCTAAATATGCATAAAATAATAAAACTGGATCAGTGTCATTATTTGATATCTAGTTATCTAGAGAGTTGTTACAACATACAACAGTTGTCCTATGAATATAACTACCACGGTTGCCCTTTCTTTGTATGCCTTCATGCCAATTCCAAGTCCCTTTTCACTAAAATAAAATAAAATAAAGAAAATGTGAGGATAGGTGTCGCACCCACAAACAATCGGAGCTCCATGAAAAAAAAACTTACTTACTCAGGGTAACACGTTTTGCATGAATCGAGCATAAAATTAAATCTTCAAACAACTGAACTGTGTAGGGTAACACGCTTTGCATGAATAAAGTGCATAAAAGGTTAGAAAAGAAATAATCTTTTTACTATAATTTATTTTTGGAAAATACAAGTTTTCGTTAACTTGATTACCCAAAAAATAGCAATTAGTCAAGAAATAAATATGAAAGAATTATGAAACCTCTTGAAGGGTCTGTAGAGCTTCAGCTTGCTAACAAGTAACTTTAGGGGTATGTAGTTGTTTATCTCTTTTACCTACAAACTCAAATGTTACTTCATTAAATATTTCTTACAATAATTTTCAATCTCATACATAGTCAAATTTGATATATGTGTTTGCAATTGATACAATTTATTAGATCATGAACTAAATTAAACAATTCTTGGATGTTTTATAAGAAAATTTCCTTAATATCTTCCGTTATTTTCCCTCTTTTGGGGTTATCAACACAAGTTGCAACTCATATTTTATCACTCTTCTTCCTAAAATCACCGACCCTGTATCTATTGACTACCGCCCGATTAACTCAATCGGTTGCATGTATAATGTGATCTCGAAAGTTATTTCAAATCGCCTAAAATATGTCATTGGATCTGTAGTTGGGAAGGAACAAACTACTTTCATTGTTGGTAGGAATATACTTAATGGCCCCCTCATGATCAATGAAATGATATCTTGGCTTAAAGAATAAAAAGGACGCACTACATTTCAAAGTGGACTTCAATAAGGTTTTTGATTCACTTAATTGGTCTTTTTTTTGTCCCCCAATGTTGTCATGTCTGAAGCATGTACTATAAGGATGTTCCATGACATCCATACTCCAAATGCAGGCCCACTCATATCTCACATTTTTTATGCTGACAATGCGTTGTTTGTTGGTGAATGACCACATATCAACCTACTAAACCTTGTTAGAATATTACGTTGTTTTCACTTGGATTTGGGACTTATGGTTAAGAAAAGTCTTCGGGGTGGGTATAACTGCTTCTGAAGTTGAACATTTTCCTCGAATTTTAAGTTGTCAGGACGCCACTTTGCCTTTCACATATCTTGGTCTGCCTGTTAGGGCGAACATGTCACTTATAAAGCATTGTAAACCAATTATTGATAGATTTCAATCTCGACTTTCTTCTTGGAAATAAATAACTTTATCCTTTGGAGGGTGTATCACACTCATACACTCGGTACTTGTGAGTCTTCCAGTCTTTTACTTTTCGCTCTTCAAAGCACCCCTTAAGATTATTGATGAATTGGAGAAGATCAGGAGGCGGTATTTGTGGGGGATGGAGATTCAAATTCAAAAATTTGTTGGATTAGTTGGATAAAGTACTCACTCCAAAAAAATGGTGGACTTGGTGTCATTGGTTTAAGGGATTCAAATCTCGCACTACTTGGTAAATGGTTATGGAGATTGAAGTTTGAGCCTTCATCGATCTGGGTAAAACTAATATTATCTCTTCATAATTTGGATTGTGTTTGGAAATTCTTCCATGTGCGACTCAAAGTCACCGGTGTTTGGAAAAATATTGTGAGTGTTTCCAAGGATATTGCCATTTGCAACATCAAGATTGTTGAATTAAGCAAAAAAGAACTGGGTGGAGATAACACGACTTCATTATGGTTTGAAGACTGGTCAGGAAGGGGAATTTTAAAAGATGTTTTTCTTGAGTTATCTAAACTATAATTGAGAAAACAGTCCATGGTCATTGATAGATACCAAAGAGTTGGCGCTTCAGTAGATTGGATATAGCGCTGCAAAATAGATCCTACTACGAGTATGGAGAAAATTGAATTAATGTGTTGTAATCTAACTGTTTCGAACAACATGTGGAGTTGTTGGTAGATAACGCGGGTACAATCACAGTCATATCCCTACGTCGCCTATGGGAAACGTTTTAGTTCGTTGAGTTTCCTTATAAACACTTTTGGAACAATTGGGTGCCGATCAAATTCAAATTTTTTGGCTGGCATGCGGTTCTTAATCGACTACCTTCTAAAACCGCACTTTCAAATCGTTGGGGTCGTTTTACCCTCCACAGTCTATGCTTTTTGTGGTGCTTTAGAAGAGTCAGAAACACATTTATTTCTTCCATATGTTTGGGTAAAAGAATTTTGGGCTATATTGGAAAGGGATATAGATGGAGTCTCACTCATTAAAGAGAGTTGTAAATTCTTAGAACAGGAAAAAACTATAAATATCTTCCCATAACCAACTATGAGTTCCATTTGATTGTAAGTCATAACTTGTTGAAATGCAAAATCCACATACCTACAAACTTGTCAATCAACAATTATATGTTCAATTTGAATACAAAAAATTATATATCTTGAGTAGGATATTGTCAAGTAGGAAAACTGGAAAAGTCTAGAAGAAATGGGATTCGGACCCATGCATTATGCAATCTTCTTATATGTCGATTTAGCAAACCAATGCCTTAAGTTATGTTCTCTTTGTGCATTTAGTTGTGCTTGAACCTCGTGCAAGCTTTCTTTTTTACCGAATAGATTTGGAGATAGGCGATGCAATGTGGGAGTCGTGGTCCAAAAAGACCCGAGCCTAAATTAGAAAGCTGATAGGGTTTGGGGTGAGTTGTGGGCTACATTAGATATGAGTTGAAATGGCGAGCGAACAACAATTTGAGAGCATCTTTGGAACTGAAAGAAGGGGCTAACCTGACTTTCACTTTCATAAAAAGAGAAAATTGGACTTGAACTTTAAGAAATGGAATTGCGATGAGCCAACAGTTAGAATCTCGCCTAAGGACTATTTCCTTATGGTCACTATCTTCTCGCTACTGATTCGACCTGTTAAATTGGGCTGCTGTTTACTTAGAATTGCCAAGCGATCTGTTGCCCACCCCTAACCCCCTCTTGCGATTGGACTTTATAACAAAAAAGGTTGTGCAAAAAGGAAACTGAAAAGAAGCTTTGCAAAAGCTAAGGCCAAAGCTCTTCGGGCGATATTATATCATAACGCATTTCCTCGTGATTAGGGTGATGTGATTGTTTGATCAGCTTTTCTTATGGAGGGATCTCTTAGTCAGGATAATACTAGGCTGCGATGGAAGAGATTAAACATTGGAATAAGAAGTAATTTCGTTACCTGTTTTAATTTTTATAGAGGTGGATGGAGAAAGTGGACAAAAGGTGTGAACTTAACCTATATAGGGTTAATTCTCTTGAACATCTCTTATCAGTCTCACATTGCTTCTATTAATCATCATTGCATAAAAAAATTACACATACCATCCTCTCGAGTACACTTTGGTTCATATGTAAGGCAAGAAACGACCTTACTTTCAATAATAAGGGAACATCATCGGTTAAAGTGGTTGAGAATATAAATCAGATGTGTTTATTTGGGTTAAAAATAGGGGTATGGAGCTTCTCCTAAATTGGGACAATTTGTGCATTCTCCCTTTTACGGTTCACTAAGGTGGTGGGGAGGGTTATCAGAGTGTTATTTGTTTTATTTTGTGTCATGTTTATCTACAACATATGTGGGTTTGGTGCGCGTATCGATTCATGGGTAGTTTTGTAAGTCCCAAAACTATGGATCTTATACGATATCAATCAAACTATCTAAATAATGCGGAATATAAATCAGATAGTGATTAAAGAACACACAAAATAGCTTCAAATGCACACGATTCTATTATCAATAAATCGCTTGGTACAAGAGAAAACACTTAACAGCCAAGAACTCATAATGATCAACAACTAACACCTAACCGGCTGAAAACACTTTGTATATGCCAAGTACAAGGCCTTAACAGGCCCAAGCCCAAGCTGACCAAAATCATTACGGTGATTTCGGTCCCCATAACTGAGAACATTAAAAGCCCATCAACAATAAATACCTCTAAGCCCAAATACAAAAATAGCCCAACATAAACCATAAATATGACCCAACAATCTCCCCCTTGGTTTATTGTTGGCTGACTTTACGGCTTCTCCACAAGATGAACATCAGCCCTGTCAAATGCCCCAGCACACAGCTTCTTGTCAATTATAGTAGCTACCATTTCAGTGAAAGCTTTCCCGACAGCTTCAAATAATTCATTTTCAACAATAAGTTGAAAGTTTGATAAAGTATGGATATCACATTCTCCAAACTTCAACAAGTCTTTGGGATCGATAATGCGATACTAGTTCTTCTTCAGTTTGATCACCACTGATGCGGTAGCCTCATCATAAACCCATAATTGCATTGATTCCAAAGTGCCTTCTGGTAAATGTTTGGGAAGCGGAATCCTTTTAGCTTGCTTTGTAGGCAGCCACATAACATTCACCATGGTTTTGTTAGTACGAGGATCAGTGACATCCCTGGCCTTTTTCTTGAACGATGAAGCAATCTTCATGCCTTCAAAGTTATGTTTAGCTTTATCCTCAAGAAAATTCTTAAAAGACCAGGCCATGGGTTCATTGATTGGATTGTAGAAAGGTGCGTTAATAAGTTCAGAAATATAAACTTTTGTCCAAGACAGAAAGTCGACATTCTTCTCATAATACTCAATTTGTCCGCTCTTCCGCTTTACGATCCACATTTTCTTATCAACATCATAACCCCACATTAAAATGCCAGAGCGATCCCCATACTTATCTATAAATTTCTTCCCAGTCTCCTTGAAAACCATCTTAGGGTGATCACTAGGAGCATTTTGGTCTGAATGCTTCATCATTAGCATCTTCCCTCTTAGCTTCTCAATCCTAATTTGACTTTCTCTTATTTCTTGAGCTGAAGCAGGACCAGAAGATAAAAATGTGTCAAGATTTGCATCCAGAGCAGGTCTTACAATTCTTTCACTTGCAGGTTGAGAAGTTGGATTGACTGGACCAGAACTAGAAGTAGAAATCTTTTCTCCTTCAACGCTTAAAGGTTGAAAATCATCACCAAACTTTTGATGTAAGAGCTGTCTCAGGTCAAAGAATAAAGCAGTTAGACCACCAAGATTTGCTTGAAGTTCTAAAATCTTTGCATCTTTAACGGAGTTCTCCTTTTCAAGATTAGAACTATCACATCCAGATTACCAATCAGTAAGTCCTTCTCAATGGATTCCTGCTTGAAAATCACAATCTCTTGTTTGAGCTCAGAAATGGTTTGATGAGAGTCTTCATCACCTCCTTGACCGGAGCCAATAGATATTCCCTTTCCTTTGGACCGAGGAATAGAGTCTTGAAAAGCAAGTAGCTTGGCTAGCTTGACAGATGCAAAATCATGCTCTGGAGGTGGTGGAGCAGAAGAGCTTCCCGAGGCAAAAGTTTCCTCATTAGCTAAGAAGTCAAAATCTTCATCAAGAATTGGGCTTTGAACATCTTGATGAACCTGGGCTGGTTCTACAATCGGGCTTTGATCATCTTGAATAATTTGGGCTGGTTCTACAGTCGGACTTTGATCATCTGGAATAACCTGGGCTGGTTCAACAATCGGAGTTGGCTGTTGTACTGGTTCAGTAACAAGCACTACCGGCCTTGGATCTCTACGTCTTCGCTTTATTTGCACCAAGGAGACGTTTGAATAGTCTTTATCACTCTCAAATGGAGACTCAGAAGTAACAGGAACTACTTGGGGAGGCTTCCTTGCATTTGACTGTAATTGTGCGATAAGAGCTTCCATCTGTTCGGGTGTGGGATCGTTTGGTTGCTTAAAAATGTTGATTTCCTTTTCTGTCTTAGCTACAGAAATCACAACCTCATTGACCGGCTCCTTCGATGGTACAAACATACGAAAATCCATACCATCATCATCACTATCACTATCATCATCATCATCATCACTATTAACACCATCATCATCATCACTATCAGAAACCTCAAACGAAGAACTGAGATTTTGTCTTGATGGCGCCACATGTTCTTCAGCCACCATAGCAATTGGAGTACTTGAAGTTGGAACACCTTCTGTATCTACAAATTTTCCAAATTTCACCAGCTCCTTCAATCCTTGATAGGTGACTTCGGCTGATTTTCTTGATTGCTTTATGAGCCCAAAGGTGTTGGGACCCAAGGCTTTCATATCCAAAGTATCAGACGACCTCTCAAGTTGGGGATATTTTTCATTTAGGATCATTTGAAGGAACCTGGGATACATCAAAAATAGGTCCTTCTTCTTCCCCTGGAGGTTGCTTTTCATTTCTTCAAAGACAAACCTTGAAAAGTTGTAATCCCAGTTCATTGCTAAAGCGACAATAATTGAGGTCGCAGTCTGACTAATTTCATCAGATCCTCCCTTCCTTCCAGAAATACAACTCACAAAATAATGTGCCAAAAGCCTCCAGTAAGGTGGCAACAGCTTCTTTGTGGTGGGAGGATAGGTTCCTTCATAACACATCTTCTCAAGGACTTCCTTCACTTAATCAGCAGAGTACTCAATTGGAAATGCAAGTGCATCACCAAATTCAAGTACTTCTCGGTTAACTTGCTCAGAAATAACTACTTGAGTTCCCTTCACCACCGAATCAACAACACCAGCTCCATCTGCTCCCTGCTTGTTGATTGAAGCATTTTTCCAGAATTCAGTAATCAGATCTTTGCAGATGACTGGATTAGCACGTAGAGAATGAGAAATCCTACAACTGTTCAAACCCACGATCATGGATTTGAATTCCTTGTGCGCGACAGGTGGATCCAAGAGATATCTTGCGATATTGTAAGAATCTACAAACTTCAACTGATATGCCATTTGACTGCACCAAACGAATCAAGTGAGAACCATAAAAATTAAAAATAAAATGTTATTTTCTCAAAAATTCATATTTTGGTCAAAAATGTCGATTTCGGTCAAAAGGAAGTGAATTCGGTCAAACTATGGGATTTCGGTCAAGGACTGTTGATTTCGGTCAGTTTAATTGGTTTTCGGTTGGATTTAATTGATTTCAGTTGGACTTAGTTGATTTCGGTTGGACCCGGGTCAAGTTTGATCGATTTTGGTCGGATCTGGGTCAAACCGAAAAACCCGAGAAAAAACCCGACGATTCATATATTGGTCTCTTTGACAGTTTTGACGGAAACCACCGTCAACCACGTCGAAAACCCTTTGAGCACCCTACAAAACTTCAAGAAAAAACATAAAATCTGAAATACGTTACTCGAAATCCACGTACCTTGTAAAACTCTCAAAGAATCGAAGAAAAAATAGCTGATTTTGGTTGAAAACGAAGATGAACCGATGAAAGGAGAAAAAGGGGTTTCCGATTAGGTATTTGAGAGATAAAATACTGATTTCGGTGGTGACATGAGAAAATGAAACACAAATTTATTTAAAACCCTACAACTGGGTTCTCGGCCCTTGGGCCACCGAATTCGGTGGGCCCAAATCCATTTAACAATTCATTTAAATAATTCGTTTCTTTAGATTAAAATCAAAATGGAATGAAAATAAAAGTAAATAAAATAAAAACTAAAATTTAAAATTTTAGATGAATGCAAATTAAATGCAAAATAAAATAAAATCAATAAAAATTTTAGAAACAAAAAATAAAATAAAATAAAACGAACACATTTTAATAATTAAATTTTAAAAAAAAATTAGGATCATGGTGGGATGTCAAGTCCACCAAGCAAATTACACCCTTTGATTTCTAAATAAACGTAATATAATGGTAAAAAGGGGTATCGATCCTCGGAGAAATGGTTGTATTCAATCACCAATGCAATTCAATAGAACTAGTGAAATTAAACTAACTAACTACAATTAAACTAAAGGGGGGGGGGAGGTGTTTGATTACTTGAAAACTAAAATACTTGAATAACTAAAAACCTTGCAATTAAGCAAGTTGATGAGATG